CATTCTAATGAGAACATTATTATAATAAAATGTTGTGAATTCTTTGGGTTTAGTTGCCGTGTTTCAGCGCGTTGTTATGGGAAGAGCGCATCCACAACAGGATCACACATTCTGACTATAGCACGCAATAACTGCGTCATTTTGTACATATATAAGTTGTAATATTATGTTTATGTTGTATTAATATTAATTTCAGGATGCATTTCCTTGAGTTAAATAAGCTGCCAGAAAAACGCTTCAGTTTACCGTGTTCATTCAGCTCTTCAGCTTCAGCACGCGCAGCTCAAACGGCTGCTATTTAAAACAGTGGTATTAATTTGTTACTTTTTCAAAATCATTGATACATTATTAATAATAACAACCACTTTTATTTTTCTCTTATTATTTTCATCAACAATATGGTTTAGTAATTAAAATCATTTAATTATTGTCCGTGCAGAGGCTATTCTGTTTTATTGATCTATGGCGCATTCATTTTGATTCTTTACACGTGTAATGATGTCCAGTGACTTGTTTGCATTATTTATGCATTATTTTATTTATTTGTAAGACTTTTTTATGGCTAAATTTGGTAATGGGAGAGTAAAATTATTTTTAAAACGTACACCGTTCAAACTAGGCTGCTTATGTTGAAGTGTTTGGGATGTGGCTTTTAATGATGAGACCTTTTTTGTAATCAGGCTCTCAAAAAGTATATAAAAATTTGGATATAGATTTATCGGCCAACATATCGGTTATCGGCTTTCAAAAATAAAGAATTATCGGTTATCGGTATCGGCCAAAATTTTCATATCGGTGCATCCCTAGCTTTGTTTATAGACTATTTGTGGGTGGCTGTTTGTTGTTTCACCTATCAACTCGTGTCAATAAAGTATAATAGGGTAAATCATGTATAGTGATTTATCCTATATAGTGCTTGCATAAAGCAAGTAGTGCATACACTTGTAGCTGTTATGTATCTTTGTATCATTGTAAGCCCTCTTTTGAGGCACGCGCAAGCGCACGACCCCCACCCCCCCCTTATAAAAAAAAACAAGTGGGCTCCCCCAAAGTCCACGGTATAGTTCGAACACTGGATTAACCGGTGGGAAACTTTCCTCACCGTCACAACCCTACAACAGAGCCGAGCTGTAGAAACTGCTGCTTCCCTCAGGGTCAGAACAACCAGAAAACTTCCTTGGTGTGAATTAATTAGATGGATAACGTTGGACACTCACCACTTGACGTAGAGCGATAAAGCGCAGGAGACCAGCTCATGCTTGGAGAATCCGGTGTTTTCCTGCAGCTGGACGGGCCACACAGGAACTGTTGAGAAACACGTGTTAGGAAATCTCGAATGAGGCTCTCGTCTGAGTCAGTCGAATGCTTCGGTCTGGTTTTAGAGGCATGTGATCGGCGGTACCGTAGTTGTGCAGCGCTCTGGTGAGCAGCAGGACGGCGCTGGCGAGTCGGGCCGGTCCCGGGACGGTGAGGGGTGAGCAGAGCAGAGAGAGATCACAGATGTAGCTGAAGAGATGAGAGCTGCGCCGCTCCACGGGCAGCAGAGACTGCAGCACCTCCCCATAATTCAACACTGTGGGAGTCTGAAACGCAACATTAACATGTTAATTAGTCGGTTAACACAACAGTGCCAGTAAATAGGTAATGCAAATGGAAAAAAGGACCCTTTGAGGCTCAGAAAGAATGGCTTTGAACATCTGTGAGATAATCTTTCATTAGAGACAGACTGATAATCTGTCTTCCATGTAATTAGTTCTTAATTATCAGTTTTACAGATAAAACGGCACCATCGGGTACGTCTTTGTCATTACACTGCTGTGCATTCAGCAGGAGGTCACATTGTTTTTAGACTTTTTATTATTATTCAATGCAATATTAGCCTTGTAAAACATTGGTTTTGCATTTCATTTATCCGAAATGTAAGTGAGTATCAGCTGTAAAGAAAATAAATAAACAGTCAATTTTCGTCTTTAATGACAAATGATTCCAGTTTTTTAGTTTTATGTTAGCATGCTGCTAAGAAAGCTGCATAGCACTCTAAATATAAGTCTAAAAACAGAGTAAAACAATACATTGGTAATTAGAAATAATATTCATAAATAATATATTAAAATGATATACATATATTTTATTTTATATACTTATACTTATATCTAAGATTTATAAAATGTTTTCGTATATAATACTCTAAAAATAGAGTAAAAATCAATTTGTAATTAAAAACAATACATTAAGTTAACAAAAATGAAATTATATTTTATATAAGATTAATAAAAATCTATATTTTTAGTATATAATACTATTAATAACTCATTTATCGTTAGAAATAA